ATTCCTTTGGTTTGGTGGTGTGAAATTATTTCCTGTGTTTTCTTGGGTGCAGTTAACCTCCTACGGTTGGAGTTTTCCTCCTAGTATCTTCTTCAGTAGGGCTGGATTTAAATGTGATTTTGTCATAGAATATCTTGTTTTCTATGGTGACTGAAAGTTTTGCTGGGTGTGGTAGTCTGGACAGCATCTGTGGTCTCTTAGAGTCTGCAAGACGTCTGCCCTCGCCCTTCTGGCTTTTAGCGTCTCTGTTGAGAAGTTTGGTGTGATTCTAATTCATCTCCCTTTACATGCTACTTGCTATTTTCCCCTTGCAGCTTTTAGTATCCTTTCTTTGTTCTGTAGATTTAGTGTTTTGATTGTTATGTTGCAGGAGAAGTATCTTTTTTGGTTTGATCTATTTGTTGTTTTGTAAGCTTCTTGTACATTTACAGGCACCTCTTTCTTTAGATTAGGGAAAGTTTCTTCTATGATTTTGTTGAAAATATTTTCTGGGCCTTTTAGCTCGGAATCTTCTCCTTCTTCTATTCCTATTATTTTTAGGTTGGATCTTTTCATAATTTCTCAAATTTCCTGATTGTTTTGTGTCCAGAACTTTTTCAATTTAACATTTTCTTTGAGTGATGTATCAATTTCTTATGTTGTATCTTTCACGCCTGAGATTCTCTCTTCCATCTCTTGTATTCTGTTGGTGATGATTGCTTCTCTAATTCCTGTTCTCTTACTTAGGTTTTCTATCTCCTGGATTCCCCAAGTTTGTAAAGAAGTAATAAAACTGCTTCCATAGAAGAAAAAAAAAAAAAAAAAAAAAAAAAAAAAAAAAAAAAAAAAAAAAAAACTGCTCAGGTATTGAGCAATTTTATCCATTCCCTTCACCTGTTTGATTTTTTTAATTTTTAATTTTAATTAAAATTTTTAAATTTAAACAATTCATTCATTTCCCCCTTAAATGCTGCTATAATCTCCATAAGATTGGATTTAAGGTCATTTTTCTGTGCTTCAGTTGTGTTAGGATATCCAGGGCTTGCTGTGGTAGGATAGTTGGGCTCTGGTGGTGTCATAGTGTCCTGAATTTTGTTGATTTCTCTCATACTGTGGCCTTTAGACATCTGGTTGTTCCTTATTCTAGCAGGCCTCTGGCAATGCAGGCATTCTTGTGGGCCAGAAAATGGAGTGCATGGAACAAGGTGCAATGTATTGCTGTTAGGTGTACTTTAGGGAAACTTGGTAGGCAGGGGATGGGGGGGACAGAGTCTTTCCTAGTTGTCCTTGGTGCTGGTAGGCCTCTGGGAATTCAGGCAGAGTTGTGGGCCAGAAAATGGAGTGCAAGGGACAGGGCTTGGTTTGCTGTTGCTGAGTGTTCCCTAAGGGCATTTGGCGGATGAAGGGCTGGTTGTTCCTGGTTCTGGCGTGCCTCAGAAAATGCAGGCAGAGCTTTGGACCAGACAGTGAAGCTCAGGGGACAGCGAGGGTAATATCTTAATGCACATATAAACACATGTACACTGCATAATATTATCATAATGAAGGTTGTTAATGTACCATCACCTTACATTGTTACTGCTTTTTCTTTTTTCTTCTTGTGGTGAGAAACTCTAAGATCTACTCTCTTGGAGAGATTGCTTAGTGGTTAAGAGTTTTTCCAGGAGCTAAGCAAACAATCTGTTGAGTGAAGAAACCCACAGAGTTGAGGCGAATCTTAGCCAGCTACACATTGGACAGAGGATTAATATTCAGAACATGACGAGCTCAAAAACAGATAACCAAGGAAACAAATGATCCAATTAAAAATGGGCAAGAGAGCTAAACAGAGAGTTATCAGTAGAAGAAATAAAAGTAGCTAAGAAATAACTAAAAGAAATGTTCATCATTCTTAGCAATTAGAGAAATGAAAATTAAAACAACCTTGAGATTTCATCTTACTCCAATCAGAATGACAAGTAGCAAAACAAAGCAAAACTAAAACAATTGACAACAAATGCTGGTGAGGGTGTTTGCAAGCATTCTGGAAATCAGTATGGACAATCCTCAAAGAACTAAATATCAATCTACCCTATAATCCAGCTATTCCACTCCTTTGCATATGCTCCAAGGAGTTGACATTCTACTTCACAGATACTTCTCAGCCACGTTCATTGCCACCCTATTGACAATAACCAAGAAATGGAAACAACCTAAATATCCTTGAATAGAAAAATAGATAATGAAAATATGGTACATATACAATAGAATGCTATTCAGCTTTAAAGAAATTGAAATCGTGAAATTTGTGGGAAAAAGGATGGGCATAGAGAAGATTATATTGAGAGAAGGAACCCAGATACAGAAAAATTATTGCTGCATGTTCTCTCTCATCTGTGGTTCCTAGAATCAAATCTTCAGATGTGAGTATACAACATGGAGTGAAGCCTGCAGAAACCAGGAAAGTATAAAGGGACCATGATAGGGAGCCTTGACAGGGAAATAATAGGATATAGATAATATGAAGCAAAAAATGGAAGGGAACTACAAGTGGAAAGGGGGTGTGGTTAGTACAGAAGGAGAAGGTTCTTCTTATAAGAAGGAATCTTACTATTCTTATTTATTTAAAATTATATATAATATATGTAAGTGTACACACCTTTCTATCTACCTTAAAAGAAGTTATGCCATTATGGATGATGAAGCTGACGATAAGAACCACAGACTAACAAAGAATTCAGGACCAGGCATGAGAATGCTCGGTTGGTCAGAGAAATCCAGGTGACTCCCAAAACAACCTAGACTGTAGCTGCTGCCACCGTTGCTTGCATCACAGAGGCTGGAGACCTTTTTGCTGGAGACCACACACACTTAGCACATAAGTCTTTTCTGAAAGCTTCCGTCTGTGATCTAGCTTACATGGTGCCAGGAAATACCATGCAAGCTGCCAAAGTAGGGAAGCAATTAATATCCATTGTCAGCTGTATTACCTATGAATCACAACAATGACCAGCATGGAAAGAGATTTCTAAAGATGCATTAGGGATACTTGTATCATATTTTCCATGAAGAACCATCTAATTGAATTTAAGATTCACTCAACAGGAGAGAAATCATGTCTGGTACCAGAAACTTAGCCAACTACCCAGGGCTAGTGAGGTCAGGACCTTAGACTAAAAGTACTGCCTCACTTTGCTACACTAGCATAATTCCTCACTACCTTCAAAATCTTATCCAGATGAGTATAGCTATCAGCTCTCATCAAAAAGCTTCTTTTTACAGCGAATAGAGACCATCACTTAAAACCACAAATGAACACCCTGGATCATAGGAATCCCACATCCAGTGTGTACATCTACATCACAGCTCCTGCATCTATAGCTCAGGGAACATCACAGAAGAAGAGGTAGAAAGACTTTAAGAGCCAGAATACCAGGATGTCTGCTTCAAACAGTCTGCTTGAAATAGAAGTGGCTCCACGAATAAGATATGAAAAATGGCAGAATAAGTAGACATGCTAATGTGGAAGATGGAAAAAATCTCATGGGGTCCCACTCCTAGACAAACAACTACTGACAACTAAGGAGTGCTAAGGTTAGCTTCTCGCAGGGATGAGTCCCCTAATTGGCTGTCCAATACAAAGGGTTTATCCCTGAAACCACATGCACACAACAAATATAGACTCAGTAGGGTATATTACTATATTTTTCATACATGTGCATATATGCGTATATATGTAACAATAGTAATCAGGAAGAAAGAAGCTATCAATTTGGGAGGGAGGAAAAATGGAAAGTGTTCAAGGGAGGCAACTTGGGAGGTGCTAGAAGGAGGAAATATAAATGATGATGAAAAGAAAATAAAAGAGTGTGTACTACTTTTTCAGGGGGCTGGAGTTCAGTTCCCAGCACTGATATCTGGTGGCTCTGGTGACTTTTTATAAGGGTCATCTCACACTTCTGGCCTCTGAAGGCACACCACAACCACCACCACCACCACCACCAACACACACACACACACACACACACACACACACACACACACACACACA